CAACCTTTGTGTATGGGAAACAATTGACACATGCACAGACACAGTGTGCATGTTTTCTAATGCAAGTGAATCCTACATACTTTCAAAATGCATAGCTTAGGACTTCTGCATCTATCTCCTTTTTGCATTTTAAGATCATTACCCTCATTGTTTTGCTTTAGTAGATTAAACAATGCTGATTCAGCTTTTTTAAAAGCATGTTTTTGAAATTAACAACTTAGTTTTATTGGCCTCACTAAAAAAAAATAATAAACCACTTCAAAGGCTTCCTGTGATTTTTTTTTATTTTTCATTGAAACTATTTTGTCAGGTTGCATCAGAACTGTATCTATTAATTATTGAATCACACAGAAGAGTAGTGAAAGCACGTGCAACCAAGCAGCTCAAATATAATTTCTGAAACACGACCTTGCAGCATTCATTCCTGGGAACAAGCCCAGCCTCACTAGATACACTTGGCATTATTTTGAAATGACTAGAAACAGAATCTGGCCAGTGACTAGAACTATTTATATCTTCAGAAGTTATACAGATTAGTACAAATCCTTGGTATTGAATCTTTAGGAGGTGTCATCATTCAGCAGAAATACTTTGCTGAACACTCAGCAGAATACCTCGGCAAAAATAAAACCCCCAAACCAAAAAAGCCTTCCAAAGAACAATTCCATTGTTGAAATAAGCAATTTTAGAAAAGTACTAAAACATATCATCAAAGATGATTAGAGGGCTGGAGCACCTCTCCTATGAAGAAAGACTGCAAGAGCTGGGCCTGTTCAGCCTGGAGAAGAGAAGATTGAGAGGCGATCTCATCAACGTGTACAAGTATCTGCAGGGGGAGTGTCAAGAGGATGAGGCCAGCCTCTTCTCCGTGGTGCCCAGCAACAGGACAAGAGGCAACGGGCAGAAACTGAACCACAGGCAGTTCCATCTGAACCTGAGAAAAAACTTCTTGACTGTGAGGGTGACAGAGCACTGGAACAGGTTGCCCAGAGAGGTAGTGGAGTCTCCTTCCCTGGAGATATTCAAAACCTGTCTGGACGTGATCCTGGGCAACATGCTCTAGAGGACCCTGCTTGAGCAGGGAGGCTGGACTAGATGATCTGCAGAGGTCCCTTCCGACCTCAACGATTCTGTGATTTGTTTTACTCTATTAGGGCTCTAGGAAAGCTGTCAGATTCTCTTAGGATACAAACATCCTTCCTTTCATCAGGCTTTACAAACTTTGGACCATGATAAAGGAAGTGTTTCGTGTTCAAAAAGCCCAAGACATCAATAAAATACAAGTCCTCTCTTCCAGGACTGTGTATTTAGCTTAGGGCTTTCTTTTACAAAACAATATTTAAAGTCCAATACTCAAGATACACAAATAAATTTAAAAATTGGAAAAATTGAGAAAATTTCTTTCTTTCAACTGCAGGGAGTACTGAAAAGAAGAAAACATTCACATCTAGCTAGCATTTTACGGAAAAGAGATCTTATTTGAGCTGATTTGGGATCGTTACCAAACACCCCGCGTTCCTGCCTGGTAGATTAAAGCACAAAAGGGAACAGAAAACGACAGGCAAACGTAGGAACAACCCCATTTCCTTCTCCGGCAGCAGGAAGGTGCTGCCGGAAGGGTGAGGACCGAGCC